GCAAAGTGAAATTCCCCCATTTAGACCACAAAAGATAGCCGTAAAAGATAGTCGTAAAAGATAGTCCTAAAGCAGATTCGTCGTAATGCAGGGCAATTGTAAAGAGAGGCACCACTGTATAGATTTCTCAGGAGGTAGATAAGGTGTTCAGGCACTCCTATTTTTTTTAGGAACTTGCCATAGTTTTCTGTGGTCCAAATAGTCAAAGGCTTTTGCATAGTCAATGAAACAGTAGTAGATCTTTTTCTGGAACTCTCTGGCTTTCTCCATAATCCAGCGCATGTTCTGGGCTGCCTTTTGATTATGGTCCTGTGGCATTCCAATAAGGAAACAATAACACATAGCATGTCCTCCCTAACAGCTACCAGCATGAACAGAAGCCAGAACTGGTGTTTCAGGTTTACTTCCTCACACATTATTCCTATAAAAGTTTCCTTAATATATGTTTTCCATTTTTAGCAACTTACAAAGCTTTAGAATAGCTATTATTTAATAGGCATAAGCTCAGTACGAGGTCACATGCCTTTTTTTTCTTATGCACTCTTTCATCCATATGGAAACATGCACATTCTTCCAGACATTACCTTTGCAATGATGTCCAGCGTCACCCGTCCCAGCAGGTTCATCACATCCACTTGGGTTTCTCCATCGGCTTTTTTCTGCAGCTCCTTCATAAGCTCTTCTGCTTGGTCATTAAAAGGTCCCATCAAGTCAATCAGGTAACTGTGTTATTAATACACAATATTCAAGAAAGGGTTTTGTGGTATATCAAGACATTGGTTCATATGTGAAAAATGAGGGTTTATAAATAATATGCCCCAATGGCACGCAATGGGGAATACAATCAGCAGCTCATTAACATGAAGCCACTGACCATGGCATTTTGTACCTGCTTTTAGATCAGTGTAAATAATCAGATTAATTCTGGCCATACAATCACAGGATAGAGGGATATAAAATAAACTGTGCTATTAATACAAGCTACTCAGGAAAGGGTTTTGTGGCATATCAAGAAGTTAGTTCATATATGAAAACCCCATGTTTATAAATTAGATGCCAGAACAGCATGTAAAGCGGAATACATTTTGAACCTGCTCAAGTGTTCACATTATTAGGCAAGACGTTCGCCTTGGTCCTGCCACCTTCACAGATGCATTTGGTGGGGACCACGGAAGAGAGCCTTTTCTGTCACTGGTCCCATACTCTGGAACTCCCTGCCACAAGAGGCTAGACAGGCTCCATCTTTATTGTCCTTCTCTTCAGGCAAGCTTTCACTGAATGAATGGCTGCCGAGGGTTGTTTAAAAATGGATTGTTGTACCTCAGTGCATTGAATGTACTCTAGTTTTGCTTATATTTTTTTGGTTTGGATTCATTGGTCCTTTTATTGTTGTATACAAATTAGTATCGTGAAAAATAAGCCGTCTTGAGTCCTTTTTAAGGAGAAAGGCGGATTAAAATATTTATATAAATAATAGAAGCAGCAACTCGCTAATAAGGAGCAATTGGCCATGGCCATTTATCTCATTGAACTTAAATAACCAATTTGATTCTGGCTCTACAATCATAAGACAAAGACAGTAATACTATCCACTATGAGCAAAATCCATACACACTACACTACACACAACATGTAAGATGCCAAACCAATGAAAGGAATGAGGCAAAAAGGTAACCCTTTCCTTATCCATTCTTTCAATATGAAAACATTTACAACTGAGTGGCTACAACAACAACACAGATTGAAAAACACACAATCTCTTTTAAAATTCATCTGCAACTCTCAGTGTTTGTCTCACGTTCGACTGAATGCCGGATCCATAATTCTCCGCTGCTTGTGCCAATGGTCATAGTCAGGTTCAGTTACCAGGCTATTCCCTAAAAATCTAAAAAAGCAAAGGAAATATGTACTATTTTAGGGCACATCGTCATATTCTGACACACAAAATTATGATTCAGAAGAAAGCGGCCATAACGCTTAGGTGATCCCTTCTTTCACTTCTCGTATATTCTAGTTGTTGCCCATTTTTTAGTTTCTTTTAACCATACTCATCCTAGACCCTGTACTAGCTAGGTAAACCAAGGCAAGTATTGACTGATTAATTCCAGTCCTCTAAAACCATGATGCAAATAATAAAAAAACTTTCTGAAAATAATTTTTAAAATATCATTATTTTCCCACCACATGAGACAGTTTCTGAGCAGCATCTAATGTTCCATTTTTCAGGGCAAGAAAAATTTTGAGAACAAGCTTTTCTAAACGAAATGAATTAAGTCATTCATTTAGGTTTGGCTCGGTGTTGAAACCAGACCTATTCTAATGTGGTTTCAAAACCAGTTTGGAATCATAAATAGTAGTGATGAATAAACTGTGGAGGAAGCTGGGATGAAGAAAGAGTGTGCATTGACTAATTCTACTGGACTTTTCCGTGACATTTGGTATCATCAATACAGTGGTGCCTCGCTTAACGAGCGCTTCGTTTAACAACGAATCCACATAGCGACGATTTTTTTGCGATCACAAAAGCAATCGCATTACAATGTTTTGAATGGTAAAAAATCGCTTTGCGATGATTGGTACGCTGTTTTGCTTACTGATTTTCGCATAGTGATGTTTTTAGAACAGCTGATTGGCAGTTCCAAAATGGCCGCTGGGTTTAAAAAAATGGCCGCCCGCTGTGTTTTCGCGCCGATTCCTCGCTTACCGGGCAGCGAAAATGGCGGCCGTATGGAGGATTTTCGCTTTAAGGTGAGTTTTTTGCCCATAGGAATGCATTAAACGGGGTTTAATGCATTCCTATGCGCTTTTTTTTTTTGCATAGCGACAAATCCGCATAGCGACGATTTTTGCTGCACGGATTATCGTCACTATGTGGGGCACCACTGTAATTGTATATTTATTGAACATTATTTTGGATTGAGAGTGAGAGGCACCGATTTACATTCATTCCATTAGTAAGTGGAATACAGAGAAACATCCACAAGACCTTGGCTTTTTGAGTTGTGGTTGTGGAGTTCACCCTGTTACCCCTTTCTTGACTGTCAAGACTCAGAGCTCACGAAGGCAAACAATCCCCTTTTTTATACTGCTGCTACCAGGTGATCAAATCACCATTATGTCAGGAAGATAAAGATTCAGATCTACACTTCAAGGTCTTTTAAATAGAACTTTTGTTTATTGATTACAAGAAATTGATTCATGAATATCTTCTTTAGGTAAATTTATTACCCACACTCTAACTATTTCTCTCTCACACACTTCACTCCAATTCTCTCTCTGACTCTTACTGCCTGACTTTGACTCAGGCTCCGCCTGTTATGAGATCTCGCTCGGCTCCGCTCGGCTCCGCTCGGTGAATATGCATGAAGTATTAACATAACAGACATGAGCCATTGACATAATAAAGGGGAACGCTACAGTGGTATCAATCCTTCCTCCTATATTATTCAATACTGATATTAAAAAAGAATTTTAGAATCTGTTCCCATAAATATATATAATTCTTATCAATTCATATCCAAATTTAACATCTACATGGAACTGCTGAGAGAGGTCATCAAGAGGTTTCGTCTGAGCAGTCAGCAATATGCCGACGACACTCAGCTCTACCTCTTGTTTTCCACTAATCCAGGTGAGACGGTTTCTGTGCTGAACTCGTGTCTGGACCTGATAATGGACTGGACGAGGGTTAATTGAAACTCAATCCAGACAAGATGGAACTGCTGTTAGTGGGTGCTTCGATGGATACGCTGGAGGGCCATTTCCCTGCCCTGAATGGGGTTACACTCCCCCTAAGGGACAGGATCTGCAGACTGGGGGTGCTCCTGGGCCCCAATCTAACTCTGGAAGCCCAGGTGGACTCGGTGGCCAGGGGCACCTTCCTTCAGCTGCAGAAATTATACAAGCTATGGCCCTACCTGGACGCGCAGAGTCTCACGACAGTTACACATGCACTGGGAACATCTCGTATAGATTACTTAATGGTTTTATCTTTTTATTGTATTTTAATTGTTGTAAGCCACCCAGAGACCTTTGCATAGAGTGGGCAGCATACAAGTTAAATAAATAAATAAAATAAATAAATTGTGTAGCAGAGATGGGCACGAACATCGGTTCGGATGTTCATGCTGATTCATACGCGCAGCACCTATGGTGTCACACATTCCCTTCTCCCACTCTCCAGCCAGTGCCTGCTTCTCTTCCGCTTCAGCTGCTTGACCAGTCCCTTGAAGGAGCACGGGCCTCCCTGTCCAACTCCTTGGGTGGTCACCCACTGAGACAAGGAGACAGGACAAGCAAACCTGTGCTCCTGCCAGGGACTGGCCAAACAGCCGAAGAGGAGGAGGAGGAGGACGAGGAGAGGAACGTGCTCCAACTGGTGAGTGAGTCATTGGCCAGGCAAGCGGGGAAAGGTTTGTGCCTGTTTCTATTGTGGTTCGGGCCCTTCTCTATTGTGTAGCATTTCCAAATACTTTCCACATGAGCATGTTTCCTGTGTATGAAATACATTTCCAATAACCTTAAGAATCACAAACTTCTTGAATACTGGTCAGTCATTTAATCCAACAAGTCACATGCCATTTAGCTCTACTTTGACTCACCTTACACCAAACATATTGAAAAGATAGCCATATGTAATTCGGTCCTTTGGGTACTGTGGTAACATCAAGTATTCCTAGAATTCAGTCCTCTGGTTAGTCCACATCAGATATAAATAACATCACAACAGACGTCAACCAACATCACATAGGACAACATTTTGTAAAAGATACTGATGTTGAAGGATGGCTGAAACCCTATTCCACCGGTGTGTGTGTGTTATGTGCCATAAAGTCATACCTGACACCTGGTTTTCAAGGCATAATCTGGGCTCAAGTGATGTCCATAGATCTGGGTAGTCAGAAAGCCGATAAATGTCCAGTTCACAGAAAGCTCAGATTTACTAAATTGGACAGAAGCCCACTACCCTGATAAGATGGGATTAGCAGAGAGTTTGGTTCTGGAATGTCTATGGCTAACTAGACCACAGTACCAGGAAGCATTGTTTGAGAAGCATGACACAACTTTATGTAAGGTGAAGGAACATATTTTTTAAAGCAGTGAGGGAACTTTGATACTCGTAATACCCTCACTGCATTCAAATACACGCTTTTCTTTCAGAGTTCACCTTTTGGAAAAACAAATGGTTTTATGAATCCAAAACAGAAGGGTGAAACCAGATTTTGTTATTATTTATTTTTGCAAAAGGAGCAATCTAACTAGGCTTCAGATCATTTCAGCAGCATTACTGACATGCTGTGCGAATCGCTCATAGTCACAGAAGGGTCACCCATCTCAATATTTGGTTCAAAGCTAAAAAAGACACACCTAATTTATAGACGTTGGCTTCCAGAATCCTGCAGCCAGCAAGGACAATAATTCTGGTAGTAGCATTTCTGGGCTCAGCCCATGCAAACAACAAGACAACCCAATTTAAAAGCTGTACACAGGGAACAACGAGAAACCTTCTGGATTTCCAGACCAGCTGCTTCCATCTTATGTGTCACCCTCAAATCAATATTCCATAGCATACCTTTACTGCTTCAGGACTCACTATCAATAAGGACACTCTATGAAAGGCAGTAAAACGCAAGACTGGCCCATATTCCTCAGCCCTATGAAAACAGAAATGGGTATAGATAAAACATTTTAGATTTTAACAATTTGTTTTTATAGTCTGTTTGCACACACAGCTAGCTAAGACATTTTTTTCCTGAAAAAAAGTTGGACTTTAACCACCTCTTGGATTAGAGAGACAGACAGACTTTATTTACACTGGACAGCACCATTTGAGTTTTCTACCTCAGAAGCCAGAAGGCCCCAATCTAGAATATTTGCTCATTAAGACAAAGAAAATGTTGCAACATTCAAGAGATAACAGACATGCTCTGTTCTATTCAACCAGTCTCCTTCTGAGGATAACTTCTTTAGCCTCATGATTTCACCACTCTCACAGTTCTCGGCTCTTTGCTGCTTTTACTGAAGTGATTCTCAAAATTTAAAAATATAAGTGAGATATCTGTGTTGGCACATAACCAAATTCCTGAATCCTTACTAGATATGCTTAATATCTTTATTAAGTATATCTAAAATGGCAAAGAAAAGTGTCCAAGCTGACCTCAAGTCCTTGAAGTCTATACTGGCTGAAATCCAGTAGTAAGACACAAATAGATCACTCCATTGAATCAATGCATTTACACAGGCATGAACTCACCAGATTCCCACTGATTCAATGGGCCTACTCTAGTAGCAACCTCCTGGTGGATTTCAGGTACTGTGCATTAAGATGCAATGCAAGCTGTGGAAAAGGAAATTCTCAGGTGACGCAGCCCACAGACACTGCAGGAGCTGAGAAGTCAGAAAAAAATTGTTTTCCCTCTTGGGGCAAAAAGGTTGTCACCAACACCCCATCATTAGAAAAATCTATCGAAAGCCTAAAAAACTAAGGGCAAAGCCAAGACACAATACAAGCCAGCCACACTGCACTTTGTAATCTTTTACTTCAAGATGTCTGCTTTTTGAAAAAAAAACTTACCATTGCAGAAAGATATTGTGAACAAGTTTCTTACTTTTCAAGCTTTCCCACAGGACCGGCATATGACCAAAGAAAAAACTGCAAGATTTTTAAAAGGAAGATTTCATTAAACTGTGAGGAGGACACCCTACTTTAAAAAGTCAGATGAAAATGGAAGGAAAATAATGAAATGGAACAGAAATGTCTATAGTCTTGAGTCCCCCCC